CAAGCATCCAACCCTCCAGGGCTTACTAGCTCTGTCTGAGCTGTCACCGGCCCTGGGGGCTGCACCTGGCACTCCGGTTGCCATGGGGCTGTGGAGGCCAGGTCTAGGGGGTCCTGCCCACATCGGCCTGGCTGTGGCTTCTCGCAACACCAGAGCAGACATTCTTGACCACTTGCCACGTCCTCTGGTCTTGAACCACCAATCCCCCAAGCACTTACTATCGCAGTAAAAGGACCAAATTAGTGACCCTGGAACTAGGACCCTATCACCACCAAAACGTAGACCATGCAACATTGACTTCCACAACATGGAAAACGCAAGCCTTGGTGAACTCGATTTGGCGGCACGCACCCAGCCCTGGTTCCAGGGGGACGTCTGCACAGGCATGGGTCGCATGGCCCTTTGCACCTGGGGCGGGCCCCTGCAGCCACACCGGAGAGGACAAGAGTGACCCCGCCTGCAGGGTCTCTGCGTGGTGCTGGATTCAGCACCCAGGCAGAGCTGGTGAAGCCTCCGGTGCTCCGGGTTCCTCTTCCTGGGGAAAGCAGGGCCTGACTCACTCCGTGTAGACACTGAGGACCCAAGGGCCCAGCTAATGGCCTGGATACTTCCTGACCAGCTATCAATGCTGGGAATAGAACCGTGCCTCCTTCAGGAGGGTGTGGTGCCCCCGCCTGGGTGCCAGGCTTTCCTTCCAACTGCACCAGTGGACACATGTGGTCACACAGCCAGTTCACAGGACAGGTGCAGGCGCTACACCTGGTAGTGCAGGTGGGCGGAGGTCACACAGACCCCGGGCCACCACGGTGCATGTCAGTTTGACCCTGAAGGCCATGGGAGGGGCATCACAATGTGAAGCAGAGCGTTTTGGGCACCATCTGCTCCTCCATTTAGTGCTGGAAGGACCCCCGGCAGAGATCCTGCGACCCTGACTCTGAAGGTGGTGCTCAGAAGCAGGCATGAAGATGGAAGAGCCACTGACAGGAGCTGGTGGGGAGGTGGACGCTGGGGTCTCCAGGGAGCTGCTGCGAGGGTACCTGTGGGATATTTGCACTCCTCAGAGCTTCCTGAACAGGGGGCTCTTCCTAGACAGACGCCGCTCCCAAGGCAGCCTCTGGATCACAGGGCACAGACCTGGTCTCCAGTATCTCTTTTCCTCCCCATCTCCTCATTGCTCCCACAGCAACTCTCTCCTGTGGTCTCTCTATCTAAACAATCTGCTGCCTGCTGGGTCCCAAGCAACATGAAAAGCAAGAAAGCTACCAAATACTAGTTTTAATTTATAGAATACATTACAGCTCACAAACATATTTTATCCATCAATAAAGCTCTTGAAAACCAACTGTATGTGGATTAAAGATACAGTGAATCAACTTGTGAAGCTATTTTAGAAATAAATAAGATTGGGCCAGGCGTGGTAGCTCACGCCTGTAATCCCAGCAATTTGGGAGGCCGAGGCAGGCACATCACCTGAGGTCAGAGGTTCAAGACCAATAGGGTTAAACACGGTGTCTACTAAAAATACAAAATTAACTGGGTGTGGTGGTGCATGCCTGTGACCCCAGCTACTCGAGCGGCTGAGGCAAGGAGAATCACTTGAACCCAGGAGGCAGAGGTGGCAGTGAGCTGAGATCGTGCCATTGCCTGATCCAACCTGGGCAACAAGAGTGGAACTCTATCTCAAAAAGAAAATACTAATAAAAAATAAACAAACTGATGCTTCTTCATTCTGATCACAGCTTCATCCAGTCCTTGCTGACAGCACAAAATTCCAGGCAAATGGGACAGAGTCCACATCAGTGTTCACACACCAACAGACACAGAGAGCAAGCCACGTTTTGTGGCCACATAAAATAGTAAAGAGAAAGAGATTAATTTTATTGACATATTTTATTTGGTCCAGTATTTCCAAAATATAATTTCAACATGTAGGTAAAATCATACAATTGTTGATAACATATTTTGCACTTTCGTACAAAGTCTTTGAAAGATGGTTTATGTTTCAAATTAAAGCACCGCTCAGACTGGCGACATTTCATGAGCTTCACGTCTAAATGTCAGGAAGCTTAGCATTGTTCACAACACCAGGGTGAGAGAAATGTGGAAGATGGATGTCCTGGGACTGACAGTGGAACTGCTGAGGGGCAGAGTTTTTACAATTCTGGAAACGTGGATGCCAGGGTGCACACGTTAAAGATCTGCCAGGGGACAGCTGAGGGGAGGGTGAAGAGAAAAAATCCCAGTGACCGCAGACAGGCTCTGGTCAATACTAACAGCAAGAAGAGTGCCACCCAAAATTACCGAAATTACAAGAAAACAGACATAGGAAAAGAGTGGCAGGCACCGGACAGGACTGACAGAGAAACTAACACAAGGAAATTAAGTGAATAGAGTGATGCCTAAAAGGTAACAAAATATCATCAGGGAGATACAAAGTAACAGGCTGAGCTGAAGAGGAGATCTACTCCCTGTAACTGAAAGGTCCTGTTGAAAACAGCTGAACAAGCACAGGGGAGTGAGAATGGAAGCAGATGAAAACCATCACACCAGCTGGACATGGTGGCTCACGCCTATAATCCCAGCAATTTGGGACGCCAAGGTAGGTGGATCACCTGAGGTCAGAAGTTAGAGACCTGTGGGTAACCCCCCCATCGGGGCACCAAGGAAGAAGAGCTAAGCAGATCCCTGGCACAATTAGTGCCTGAAGAATATCTTGGTTTATAGTGTTATTACTCAGTTATTTCCTTTATATAATCCTTTATATATAATCATATATTCATTTATAGTCAGAACAATTCGTGACTGAATAATATCTTATTACTCAGTTATTTCCATATATATGCCTTAGTTGGTTGTCAGAGGAATGCCTAGAGCAGACACAGTATAGAGCATGAATTAAGGAATAAACAGCTACACATATATAAGCAGACCTTGCTTATAGTCAGAGGAATATCTAGAACAGACATGGTGCAGAGCACGATTTAAGGGAAAAACAGTTATACCAGGACAAGAATCTATGGCCCAGATGGTAGTGACCCTGCCTGAAAAGGCACTTGCTGCATGGCAGGCCGGCCCAGGCGGCAGCGTTCCGTATTGTAAAGATACTTGCTGTATGGCAGGCTTGAAGCCAGAGTCACTCTTCCTGAAAAGGAGTTGCAGGACCTTGCATCCAGTTCTTGTGGAAAGCTGGCCTCAAGTTAGCAAGCCCATAAGCATCTGAGGGCTTAAAACCCCTCTGGTATAACCAAAGCTAGGTGGCTGTACACCTTGTCAGCTCTGTTGCTAGGTAGGTACTAACTCAAAGCATCCTCCTATAGAAATAACTGGAAACTGCCAGCAGGTGGCTGTATACCCTGTCAGCTCTTTAGCTACTGTGCTGACTCAAAAGCATCCTCCTATAGACTTCCTTAGAAGTAGCCTGCCCCTAGATAAGAGATATAATGCACACTGCACCCTCTTCACTGTGCACGGCCCACCTCCTTGCCTAGGTGACCTAATGGGGGTGGACCCCTTGCTGCACACGGCCCACCTCCTTGCCTAGGTGACCTAATGGGGGTGGACCCCTTGCTGCACACGGCCCACCTCCTTGCCTCAGTGACCTAATGGGGGAGGACCCTTTGCTTATTGCACACGTGATTGTCTTGACCCTATCACTGTTCTTAAGATGTCCTCACTCACTACCCTGCCCTTTAACCTATACCCAATAAATACAGATGCTCTTGGACATTCGGGGCCTCACCTGTCCCCGCTCACAGGTGGCGTGCCCTCCCACCCCCTCCCGCCAGCCTAGCTGTCTTTTCCAGTCCTTCAGTGTCTTGTCTCTTTATTTCTCGGATCCTGCACCTCAGCACAGCGATAGGGGACACTCCACCATGCTAGTAGGGCTGACCCTACAGAGACCAGCCTGGCCAATATGATAAAACCCTGTCTCTACTAAAAAAAAAAAAAAAAATAGCTGGGCGAGGTCGCAGACACCTGTAGTCCCATCTACTAGGGAGGCTCAGGCAGGAGAACAGCTTGAACCCAGAAGTGGAGGTTGCAGTGAGCCGAGATTGCGCCACTGCACTGCAGCCTGGGCCACAGAGGGAGGCTCCGTCTCAAAAAACAAACAAACAAAAAAACCAGCAGGAAGGCCAAGCCCAAGATTTCCCAAACCTGATGTTCTGAGAGGAAGGTTGAGAAACACCAGAGAGAGGAAGATGCACTATATACCTAATGGATGTTCCTGGAGGTGAATATAGGAAAAATGGAGAAAAGTATCAGTGGAAACAATGTTTTCTCATAAGAAGAAACCATGACCTTCTACACTGAAATGAGAAAATGCATGTTAAGTAGCATAAACAGAAATGACCACATTGTGGAAAGATTCTAGGAAAGATTTGGGAGAGGTTAAAGCTATTTTTTAAAAAAAAAGTTCACCACTAGAACTTTTTAAAAGAAACACTAAACTAGCTCAAAAGCTAACATATGCAATGAAAGTATATACACTTAATAATTCATGATGTTAAAACAGCTGTAAGAAAGTTAACTTTATAAATGAGCACCTCTTATATTTTTGTTTCTGAACAAGGAAGTGAAGCGTAACAACACCCGGTAAATCTCCAAAGCGCAGACAGACAGCCCGAAGCTGGCCCAGCCCGAGAGTGCACTGCCCCGAGGGTCCTCAGGTCCCACACGGTCCGGGAAGCGGACTCCGTCCCCACGCCGCTCTGGTCCTTCTGGAAGTCCCGGGTGGGAGGGAGGCTGGCGTGGCCGCGCAGCGCCCTGACGTCTGAAACAATCCTCGCCAGGCCCACCCGCCTCCGCCTGCTCCTCTGCTAAAGAACTAAAGATGCCCTCGGGGCGCCGGCGGAGCGAGCACAATCCTCACGGCCGGGTAGTAAGTCTCCATATTACAGGGACCATCTGGAAATACCGCGATATCTGGACCCAGCAAATGCCACAAAATTAGCGCGAGAGGAAAGCAGCGCAGGTCTCGTGACAAGGGAAGATCTCACGAGACGAGACTTGGCGCCCTCCTCCGTGGATGCCGGCCCGGCCGGGCTCAGCGGTTGCAGAGAGCGCAGGCTTCCCCGCACCATGCCGTCCGCGTTCTCCGTCAGCTCCTTCCCCGTCAGCATCCCAGCTGTACTCACGGTAACTCGCAGCCTGCGTAACCACCAGTTCGGGCGAGGACGGCCGACAGCCACACGGTCTACCCCGCAGAGCTACTCGCCCGTGGCCCGGAAGGCAGCGGTCGTGGGCGGGGTCTTGCAGCGGGGCATGCGCGCTGGGCGGGGTCCTGGGGCCTGTGGGCGTGGCTCGGGGCGGGGCGGTGGAGCGTGCGGTGGGCGGGGTCCTGGGCTTTGCGGGGGTGGCTCGGGTCGGGGGGCGGAGCGTGCGGCGGGCGGGGTCCTGGGACCTGTGGGCGTGGGTCGGGGCGGTGGAGCGCGCGCTGGGCGGGGTTCTGGGAAATGTGGATGTGGCTCGGGGCCGGGCGGAGGAGCGCGCACTGGGCGGTGTCCTGCGTCCCGTGGGAGTGACTCGGGACCGGAAGTTGGGGCGAGCGTGCTGGGTGGGGTCCTGGGCCCTGTGGGCGTGGTTCGGGGCCGGGCCTCGACCGTGCGCGCTGGGCGGGGTCCTGAGTCGTGGGAGGCGGGGCGTTGGGGGTGGAGCGTGAGCGGTAGGCGGGGCCTTGCCAGGTGGGCGTGGCTGGTTTGTGTGGGCGGGGCGGGGGCGGGGTTTTGTTCGTGTGGGAAGCGCTCGCGGGCGAGTTCTGAGCCTTAGGCTGGGCTTGGGTAGTGTGGGCGGATCTTGGGCAGTGCGGCGGGGCGTGCGTGGTGGAGCCTAATAGTGGCACGTGGCGCGGAGGAACCCTGTCACTGCGTGGGCAGGGCCGCCCCGTGCCTAGTGTGTCCGGCAGGTCCCTGGGGAGCCCTCACCCCGAGTGGGTACTCGATGGGATCTCTTCCCTGACTCCGGCCTTCTGGACGGTGCATTGATGGGAGCAGATGCGCTTGTGCTCTTGTCTCCTGGTGCGGCTCCGGAGAGGCCGCTGCGGTCTCCATCAGAGAGCAGCGACACTTACAGGAGTCCTGGAGGCCTGTGCGGGGCTGCAGCTTGGAGTGCAGGGCTTGTCTCGTGCAGAAGGGCGGGCGAAGGGATGGGGAGGGTTGAGGACTGCTGGGATTGGCATCTGAGCATCAGGTGGGAACTGGGCAGCAATGGAACTGAGCTTGGCTACTGTAGGTCCTGGAGCCAGACACTGCCCCCAGGTACGGCAGAGTCCCGGGGAGTCCAGAAGGCAGCAGAGTGCGGCACTGTCTGGAGGGTTCAGAGTGTCGCAGAGAGGTTGGAGAAAGTCAAGTCGCGCGCGTGGCGGTGGCCCAGATTCCCCAAGGCTTTCAGTGCTAAGGAGCCTGAAATAACCAGCGTTTTACCTCTGGGTCTGAGCCAAGTGCATCTCTTTGAAGAAGTCCCTTAATTTCCTCGCCATCACCAATTATCATCACTTTAGGGGTGGTGATTCCTTTCATTATACCCAGCTTAAAAACATGATTTTGTTCCACAAACAAAAGGGGCGCGTCAGGGATGCCCTCAGTTCTGTGTGCTTGAACTTTGAATTCCATGGATTAGAGTTGCTCTACGGGGAGAATCCTGCTTCCATCCTGCCCGTTCCTTCTCCCTTTCCTGTCCCCACGCTTCTGTGAGGCCCGGCAGTGCTCTCCCCATACCTTGGTGAGTGGCCTCAGGAGGACTCAGGAGTGAGAGGCCCCTGCCCCCTTCCCTGGGGGAAGGCTGTGGGTGGGCTGTGAGCCCGGCCCTGCGGGGTGGGACAGTGAGTGTCTGCTGGTGTGTTCCTGTAGCAGACGGACTGGACTGAGCCCTGGCTCGTGGGGCTGGCCGCCTTCCACGCGCTCTGCCTGCTCCTCACCTGCTTGTCCTTCTGGAGCTACAGACTACAGATCGGGCACTTCCTGTGCCTAGGTGAGTAAAACAACACAGACTGCACGAGTCAGATCACTGTGTGAAATGAAGCTGTATGTTCTGTCTGTGTCTTCAAAATACATAAATATTTTTACAAGACTTCCCAACCCTGTCGTGTGCCTGCTCTTAGGGCACTCCCATGTTTCACTCTTGGAAGTATAAAGGAAAGTTCCTTTTGGATGTGAGAATTGAAAGGAAGCTATTGAGTTTCTGTTGCCTACCAGGGAGGTGCTGAGCACCAGCTGCACACAGGAGAGCTGAGTTTACCAAGTGCTGTTGTTTACACAAGATGCATCCTCAGCGCAGCTCTGCTTTGAATGGGAGGAAGATGGCAGACTGCAGAAAAAAACGTTCTGTGCATAAAATAAGGCATTGCCCAACTCGGTTTCAAAGATAAGGGCTCCAGAACTCAGAGAAGTTAGGGAGGTGCACAGGCTGAATGAGGAAGATTATTCAGAAAAGCTGAAGTATGGCACAGGGTGTGAAGGGTGAGTAAGATGCTAATAAGAAAAAGAGGGAGCAGGTGACAGCCCTGGGAGGTGACATGCAGAGACTGAGGTGGATAAAAGGCGTGGGTCAGAGGCAGAGAAACTGCCAGCCCTGCGGGGCCTAAGCACTTCTGATGCTGAGCGCTACAAACACGTGTGGGTAGGAGAGGCGAGGAGGCCTGGAGGCCTGGTGCAGGCTCCTCTTAACTCTGGTCATTGGAGAGACACCGAAGATTTTGCTTGGTAGTTAAAAACAACAACTAATTTTAGGTAAGTTTAGTCAGCTGGCTGTGTGTAAAGCAGGAAATCTGAGGAGCTGATCTTAGAAAGACTGGAGAAGTGATGAGTGTTGGCACATCCTGTGCAAGTGAGGTGGCCAGAGCGAGCTCTGTATCAAGGGTGCCCTGAGGAGCACTGGGGTGGCCTAGGGAGACAGGGCTCCTCCGCCTCCCACAGCTTCCTGGGAGACACAGCACCAGAGATTCATCAGACCTGTGTTATTATCACAGTGACAAATGTTACACTGGAAAACCAAAAACACAGTGAAACTGGAGGAGTGGCCTGATTTAAACCATGCAGCCTCCTGTGACCTCAGGGCAAAAAGGTGCATAGGCCTGAGGCAGGCACCTCAAAGAAAGGGGATGGCTTCACCGGCCGAGCTCCTGGATCTGAACAGCTTTCTCAGCTGGAGAATTGCACAGGGGTTTGATGTTTTCGAGGATAAGGGGAAGGATGACTGCTTTCACACCGGGGTAATACTGGGCACCGTGCTGCCTGCCGTTACATTTCCTGTGATCTCAGACCAACCTTAGAGTTGGATTTTAGTTGCCCATTTTTGTAAATGAAACACACAGAGGTTCTCTGACTCCCTCAGCTACACAGCTTATAATCAGCACCATCAAGATTCAGGATTCAGACTCTGCTCCAGGGTGCATTTCAGGAACAGCTGGGAAGAAGCACCTGATGGCACCCTCCCTGCCCAGCGTCCTCCCCACCCTCCCCACCCTCCTCCTGCGCCCACCGCTTCCTGTGTTAGCCCACCCTTCTCACGTGCCCAGCTGTCCTGCTCCTCCTGTCGCTCTCCGGCCCTCCTCCTTCTCCTCCTTTTTCCTCCTCCTCTTCCTCTTCCTTCTCCTTTTTCCTCCTCCTCCTCTTCTTCCTCCTCCATTCTCCTCCTCCTTTTTCTTCCTCTTCCTCCTCCTCCTCTTCTTCCCCCTCCCAGGCCCTGTCCTCCCCTTCGGTTCTTTCCCTGCACCTTCCTTTGCTCTGCTTTATTGGGTTCATTCCTGGAGGAAGGCAGTGGAGGGACCGCTGCCCTAATCCTAACCCTAACCCTAACCCTAACCCTAACCCTAATCCTAACCCCGAGTTTAATCTGCTTTTGGATGTGAATCAAGAAGAATGAAAGGATTTTTACATTTTGATGTACCTTAGAAGTTAAAGCATCACATTTTTTTAAATTTGCCAAATTGTATTGTATTTAATTTTATGGCAGCGTGGATCACTGTCTCATAGGTTTGAGTACCAGCATTATCCATGAATTAGCTGGAGACCCGGGGCCAGTCCCTAAACTGTGTGCTCCTGGGAGCACAGTGGCCTTGCCCTGCCCCCACCAGCTACTGCCCTCCCTCCTGTGCCTCTGCCTCCAGCACCCCCAAAGCTGTTTGCTCCCCTCCTGTGGCAGTGCCCCAGGGCAGCCTGGGACATGTAAGCGTGAAAAGCCCTTGGTTGTCAGCTCTGGGTCTTGTGGCTCTGGCTCTTGCTGCCGTGTCCTGTGGGGTTGAACTGTGGCTGCTGTCCCTGGGGAGATGTAGGAGGCACAGCCATGCCTGGGTGCAGCCTGGGGCCTCAGGGTGCTTCCGGCCATGGCTCTGCAGCTGCTGAGCTGAACTCGGGCTCTGACTGAGCCATAGATTGCTGGAGCACTGGAGTACTATTGGCTTTGGTTTTCTGTCTGCTAAAAGAGCAAGTCCTATAACTTGACAGTGTTAGGATGTTTACCTGACATTATGTTTAAAATTAAAGTGACATTTCTATTCAGTATTCTGCTATAAAGAATGTATAACTTTATAACGAGTAATAATGGGTCATCTAAATTCTAACATGACTTATATCTTTCTTCAGTAATCTTAGTCTACTGTGCTGAATACATCAATGAGGTGGCTGCAATGAACTGGAGGTGAGCTGCCCCCGGGCCTGTGACCAGGTCTCTGCAGGAGTGTCTCTGGAAACCGCCCTCACAGCCAGGAGACTCTAGGAGGAAACAGTGAATCCTAACACAGCAACCGCGCAGACGCTGTGCCTGTGCGTGCAGGGGGTGTGGGCTCCAGGGCAGCTCCATAAGTGCTTTACCAACGCCAGAGCAGCCCTTTCTGAGCACAGAGCTGCAGGGCGAGGCTGGCGGAAGCCTCTGATGGCACAGCCAGAGAAGTGGCCACGGGAATATGAGCTTCTGAATAGAAACAGCTTTTTAGAGAACGTGGTCCACGCTGGCCGTAGCCGTGCCCTGCCCCTTGGACTGTGGTGGCTGCTCCATGGGGAGTCTGGACCCCAGTATGGGGCTTTGGGTGGTCTGGGGCACCTGCTGTCTCACCCCCAGCCCCAAGTCCTGATGTCAGGGGGCGCTGCTGCCGGTAGCCCTGGCCCTGTGTCCTCTGCCCCCTCCTCCATCTCTGGCTTCACCCTGGAGAACTGGGACCCAGCACCTGCCCAGGGTGAACCGCACAGCCTCTGTCAGGTAATACCCACCTGGCCCTACTGTTTTCGAATGGCCTGTGAGGTAAAAATGGTTTTTACATTTTAAAATATAAAGCAAAAATAAAACTGCCAGACTCTGAGCAGGAGACTGTGGCCTCATGGCCCATAAGCCCTAAGCGCTGACCCTGGGCCCTCACTGAAAGGGGTTGCTGAGCTCCCTGAAATCCTTTGCGTAGACTCGCCCGGTTTCCCGAGCCTTCCTGTGACTCTGCCTCCTGCCTGCTCAGCCTGTCTCTCCAGGACGGTGTCCCTGCAGCTGGAGCGCGCTCTCGCTTCCCTTCTCCTCCCTCCTCCCTCCTTAGTAGTAAGTGGCTCCATGGGGACCCCACCTCTCCTCCTGGACACAGGGCCTTCACAGGGCTCAGTCCCAGGAGTGGTGCTCAGTCCTCGGTGACCCTGACCTTGTACGGAGGCTGGCACAGTGCCCTCCTCCTCCCTGAAGCCCTCCCACACCCAGCTCCAGGGTGTCGTGTCGCACCTTCCTGGCTCCTCCCTTCCCTGTGGCCTCAGCCTCCTGGCTTTGTGCTTCTCCGGCATCTCCTGATAGAAGTGCTGGGTTTCCTGCCTGTCCCACTCACTGGACTGGGCACCAGGATGTCTAACAAATGTCTCAAAATTCACACTTCAGGCCAACTGCTCTGCTCCCCCTTCTTAATAGAGGCGTCTTCTCCCTCAGCCTCTTAGACCAGAGACGTCACAGCTCATCGTTCAGGAATTGCTGTCCCTCCACCTTTAAGGCCAGCCATAAGCCCACTGTGTCCGTGCCCCTCACCCCAGCTCTGCCAGCCTGCTGCTGACACGCAGTTCCTAAGCCATCCCCATACTGCTCAGCCTCTCACATGTCCTGAGGAGGCGCGGGCCTCAGCTGGGCACTGCCCCTCAGAACGTTTCAGAGTGTCCCCAGGTCACTCTGAGCAAACGTGGAGTCATGCAGTGATGCCCTGTGGCCTCCTGCTAGCTCTGTCCCAGCCGCTCACAGCTGTGCCTGCGAGTCCACGAGGCCCCCTCACCCCCCACAGCCTTCACGTTTCTGTGTAAGCGCAGTCACCGCATGCTTGGACTGGCTGCCTCTTAATTCTGGGCCTCCCATGGTCTACAGTTAAAGTGCCCGTGAGGCGGGAACCCTGTGCCCATGAGGCTTTGACCCGCTGCCCGCTGCACGTCATTACCAGCTCTGTGTGGGGTGTTTCCCGTGCTGGCTGCTCGGAGCAGAATAAACACCCACGTGCAGATCCACCGCCCTCCCTGGCACTGCGCTTTTGTGCAAGGGGAGATCTTCCGCCTCCCCGGGTCTCTTCTGCTAACGAGGTGCTGGTGCTGGCAGCAGGACGGCTGCTGTGAGAGCCACAGGGGTGGGAGGGTCCCTGTGAGGCTGCGGAGTGGATGCAGCTGCTCTCCCTCCCTCATTTACGGGGGGTTATTGATGTTACTTTGTAGGTTCTAAGGATTTCAGGTCATCAATTCTTCCAGCTGAGGTTAGATGTGCTGCTGACCCAGAGGGGCTGCTGGGTGTCATCTCCCTGCTTGGGAGGCCTCGGGGTCTTCCCCATGCTACAGGGTGGGGTCCCCCTGCCTGGGAGGCCTCAGGGTCTTCCCCATGCTACAGGGTGGGGTCCCCCTGCCTGGGAGGCCTCAGGGTCTTCCCCATGCTACAGGGTGGGGTCCCCCTGCCTGGGAGACCTCAGGGTCTTCCCCGTGCTACAGGGTGGGGTCCTCCTGCCTGGGAGACTTTGGGGTCTTCCCCATGCTACAGGGTGGGGTCCCCCTGCCTGGGAGGCCTCGGGGTCTTCCCCGTGCTACAGGGTGGGGTCCCCCTGCCTGGGAGGCCTCGGGGTCATCCCCGTGCTGCAGGGTGGGGTCCCCCTGGCTTGGGAGGCCTCGGGGTCTTCCCCATGCTGCAGGGTGGGGTCCCCCTGCCTGGGAGGCCTCGGGGTCTTCCCCGTGCTACAGGGTGGGGTCCTCCTGCCTGGGAGACTTTGGGGTCTTCCCCGTGCTGCAGGGTGGGGTCCCCCTGCCTGGGAGGCCTCGGGGTCTTCCCCATGCTGCAGGGTGGCGTCTCCCTGTCCTGTGACCCAGCGCGTTTTCTTCACGGGCACTGCATTTGGGGCAGCACGGTGGAGATGATGCCTGCTCCCAAGGCGGGGCTCAGTGAGGGGGTTGCTTCCGCCTCAGTCCACAGCAGCTTTCTCCAAAGCCTAAGTAAAATAGACAGCGTCACTAGAACTTTTTTGTTGTATTGCCTAGTAATGTTTTGTTTTTGTTTTTTAAACAGATTATTTTCAAAATACCAGTATTTCGACTCCAGGGGCATGTTCATTTCTACAGTGTTTTCAGCGCCGCTGCTGGTGAATGCCATGATCATTGTGGTACGTAGACACTCTCGGGCTTTCTTCATGTACATCTTTTTCACATCTAAACGTGTTCCAAACAATTGTGTTTAGATTATGTGGGTACGGAAGACGTTGACTGTGATGACTGATCTGAAGAACGTACAAGAGAGAAGAAGGGAGAAGAAAAGGAGACGGAAAGAAGACTGAGAGGCGGAGTTTGCGTCCTCAGTCCGCCCGGCTGCTGCAAGTGCTGAGCTGCACATGGCGTGGGCATCCTTCCACCTGGCCCGTGGCTTGAAAAATGGTTGCTTTATGTTAATATCCACAGTGATAGGCACACACTGAAGTCGACTTTTCAGCCAGCACTGAATGTATGCATCAGGACACGCGTCTTCAGGCGTCTGATCTTTGTAGTCAGGCCGTGGGATCGGTCTCTGCAGAGCTTGACAACTGGGAGTTTGATTTGAAGAAGCCCATGTCACCTGTGTAACTGGTACTCATTATAGCCTGTTCACAATATTAAATATGAAACTCACTAATAAACAGTGCCGCCCTGCGCATGGGCACCATGCCCTCCTCTTGCTGTGTTTTCTAGTGCATGCAGCGGTTCGCAGTAGAAGGTGTTTTTGCCTTCCAGGACATGGGGCAAAGTTTGGAGACACTTTTGGTTGTCACTGGAGGGGATGGGGCTTCTGGCCTCTCCTGTGGAGCCCAGGGGTCATGCAGAACATCCCGTGTGCCTGGTCCAGCCACACCACTCACGTGACATGACATGAAATGTCAGCAGTGCTGGGGCGGAGAGACCTTGGAAGGAAGCTCTTGGAAAAGATGTATCTTGGTTTGATGAACCAATTCCCAAGAGGCTAGGTCCTCTCTAACAAAGTTATGGGCTGCTTGCTTGAAAACAGAGGGGAAGTCCTGCAGTCAGCACTCCATGGAGAGCGTCCTTCCTGAGTGTCACGGTGTCCTGTTGGTTCAGGTGCTCGGGAACACAGTGCTCTCAGTTCTGTTCGGGCAGGCATACTGTTACTTTGCAATATCCACTTCATAAAGTAGCTCCTGCCCAGTAGCTTTTGGTTCCTGTCAAATCTGGACCTGTAGTTTGAGAATGACAGATGGTTACAGACCCAGATAGTTAAAAATAGGTGTTCAGTAAGGGAATGCTCATTGTGCATCTTATCTGATAGCTTGCCTAATTGTGCATTTCTGAAAGTTACCAACTCAAAATGTAATTGGCACAGTTAACTTGAATAGACAAGCTTGGAAGAAAATGAGGTGCAGAGGTTGCCAGCCAGGCCCGTGCCCCTCTCGGGCCTTTGTGGCTGGCAAGTGGGACAGGAAGATGATTAAGGTGACTTGTCCTCCCCCAGCGTTGTCCGGGCTGCCGTGTGGATATCTGACTTGGCTAACACAAAATAAACCAGGGAGATTTTAGAGACTACATTTTTAGTGTCACATTTTCACCATCTGATATGGTTTGGCTCTGTGTCCCCCCTCAAATCTCATCTCGAACTGTGATCCCCATGTGTCGAGGGAGGGACCTGGTGGAGGTGATTGGATCATGGGGGTGGTTTCCCCCATGCTATTCTGATAGTGAGGGAGTTCTCACAGATCTGATGGTTTTTAAAATGGCCCTTGCTCTCACTCTCTCTACTGCCGCCTTGTGAAGAAGGTGCTTACTTCCCCTTTACCCTCTGCCATGATTGTAAGTTTCCTGAGGCCTCCCTCCCATGTGGAACTGAGTCAATTAAACCTCTTGTTTATAAATTATCAGGTCTCAGATAGTACCTTTACAGCAGTGTGAGAACAGACTAATACATCATCCATACGGTATTTGGGCTTACCTCAATATGGGGCCATGTGATTGAATCTCAGTTTGACTGTGATAAAATAGTGTAACAGTGTTGCTAGCTTTGCATGAATTTAATGCTGATGACGTGTCAGTGTGAAACCATGAGGTGTGTTCTTTGGTTTCCAGTCAGAGTATATACATCTGTGTTTTGGAACAGTTATATTTTGTTTTCATAAGAACAACTTTCACTATTTTTAACTGTGTAGGAAGTTTATATTCAGTGCCTTCAAATGCATTGTTAACAATTGTCTTGATATGTTGTCTTCAGGTTGGGGAAAGTCATAGAAGCGAAAATTGTCAGCAGTTGAGTAATTCACGAAAGCACAGATGCAATCCCACTTTGGTGTGCTGGAAGTCACACAGCACTGGCTCCATAAATGTGGATGACTCACTGGAGGTCTTCATCTGTTTAAGTGGAACAAATGTTTTTATTCATAAAGTACAGGAAAGGAAGTTTGTTATAAAAATATATTTTTCACATTCCAAACCTGCTACACCTTACGTTTAGCTATGCAATAAAGTAGATCGTTAATAGCATGTAGTCTTTTTTTTTTTTAATGGTATTTGTTTTATATCTTACTGTAACTTGAAACAGGAGCACCTGGAACAGCACTCCACCTTTGGCTGCCAGGTCCCTTCGCTGCAGCATCTGGTGCTGAATTTTACAAACAAATACAATTGTGTCATTACCAGCAGAAGAAAGTACACTTGCACAGATAATGCATATCAAAACAGAAAGCAGTGTGCAGCCTGAATGGCTAGCTTCTGTAAGAAATAAAGTGGCAAGAAAATGTTAACACATTCTTTCTCTTTACAAAATAATACATGAATTGTAAAAAGAAAAAAAAAAAAAAAGGTGGCATTGGAATTCGGGATAAGGAGCTCCAGTGGCGATAAGTTGAGTGGAAAGATTGAAGACAGATGAGAATTGCCGTCAAAGATGTATTGGTCAGGCCCAAGCATCAGAGGCTTCCTTGTCTGGACTTCAGTGGAGGACCCTTCTTTCACCATGTTAGAACATGTTTTCAGGGCACTCTTCCTCTCTGTACTGAAGCAATGAGAAACAGTGACTAGCCATGCTAATAGATTTCCTCATCTAGAGAGTAAAGAGAAGTTATCAAAATCCTCTCATATTGAATGAATGGTTATTATAAAATGTGTTTATAATAACTCTGATTTCAAGAGTGTGATGAGAGTCAGGGGTCCCCAGGACCACCCCAGGCTGATGTCCTGGAGAGACTCCCAGACTCAGAGCAGTGCTCACAGTCACAGCTGTGGTTACCACAGTGAAAGGCTGTGAATTAAAATCAGCACAGCGGATGAAGCCCAGGAGAGACCAGGCACAGGTTTGCAGGCATCCTCTCCAGTGGGCCCCCAGGGCCGCACGCAGCCCTCCCAGCAGCCGTGGGACCACACGCCGGGCCTGTGTCCATCAGGGAAGCCGCCTGGACCTGCGTGCCCGGCTTCGTGGCTGTATGGACACGGAGCCCTGGGCTCACATCCTGTCACAGACTCACGTAGGAAGGAGGAAGTTACTGAACATGTAAGTCATCAGAGTCATCTGAATGGTGCTGGCACAGTGCTTGCTGGAAGATCATGGCACAGCAGCGGGACCCTTTCACAGCCGACAGGCACTTGCATTTGAGGCAAAGGAGAGGAAGAGGGGACCCTGCGGAGATCGGGGTCTCCTGGGCAGGGAAACAGCCACTGGGAAGGTCCTGAGGTGGGGCCCTGTGGCCTGTTCAGGACAGAAGGACACTGGGCAGTCCCAGCAGGACATGAGTGCAGTGAGATGGGGGTGGGCACCACATAGGCCCCAGCCCTGCAGAAGCGCCAGCTCCTGAGCGGCATGGCCGTCCTCCGGGGTCTGCACAGGAAACAGGCCAGGACTGCCTCTGCATTCAGCTCATGGCTTTCAGCTTGTGGCTCTGCTGCCACATGGAGAATGGACACAGGGAAAGTGGGAGGCACTGACAGGCTGGGCCAGAGGGAGAGTGGAGGGGGTCAGGGCTCTGTGTTTGCGATCTTGCCGCTGGTGAGGAGACAAGGCATGGAGCTGCCCTGAGCCCCTCATCTGCAGAGGGAACAGGATTGCTGTTTGCTTCCCTTTAGGGGATCAGGTGCTTGGTAGGAGGCAGGCAGGCCTCAGAATCTGACCACACCAGCAAGTCGGGTCCCGGGGAGGATGGGGCTGGGCTCCACGTGCAGGGTTCTCGGAGGCCTGAAGGGAGTGAGCCAGGGCTGAGCAGAGGACCCAGGGGGTGGCGCTGCCCAGTCCCGGGGTGGCGTGAAGGTGTCTCCAAGCCTTGGTCACTGCATGGGAGGGCAGGATGGGGTAGGGAGACCCAGGCGGGCTGCGGGTGCCACGCCTTGGTCGCAGCTTGTTCCAAGTGGGGCTGGAACAATTGACAGCAAGCGTCTGAGTCAGCCTGGTCAGCTTTCTAGCTCTTCTTCCCCTGTTGTTGCAGTTTCACAGCAGCCTGTGCAGTTTGATCTTTCCTCACGTTTGGAAAAGCTGTGGCAACTATGGTCTTCAGATCATGCTGTCATTAGAAATTGCACAAGACCTATGCCAGGGGAGGTGCTGACTGGCACAGACCCTGGCACAGGCCCTGAAAGGAACCTGAGGACAGGGAAGGAGCTCCCTGCAGCCTTCAGGCAGCCAAGAAGAGACCTAAGTCCAAGCATGTGGCCACAGGGTCTGCTCTATAAGTCTCAGGGCTATCACCTTCTGCTCCAGTCTGGGTCAAAATAGCCTTCAGCAGCTTCTGCTCTATCTGAGTGAGCTGGGTGTCTGCCTCCCTTGGTCTTGTGCATGAGGTTGATGCACCATCTGAGTGAGTGGTGTGTCTGCCTCCATGGGTCCTGCTGTGATTTGGATTGATGCTTTCTCTGACTGAGCTGGGTGTCTGCATCTCTGGGTTTATGGAGCATAAGCCCAGCTCACTCATGGCCTGGCTCCTGGGTTAGTGATCCCTGAGCCTGGCTCACTCAGGGCCTGGATCCTGGATTAGGGATCGCTGAGCCTGGCTCACTCATGGCCTGGCTCGTGGGTTAGGGATCGCTGAGCCTGGCTCAC